AATCATACCACACGATGCTGGTCCAGATTATGAGCCGGTTCTAATTAATGCCCATCTACTAGCCCCTACTCCCCCGCCTGTACCTCTTCCCTCTAACGAAGAGCAAGTGGTTGTGCCCACGGCAGAGCTGATTCCTATTTCTACACATAACTCACCTCCACATCCACCCCCGGCCCATCCCTCTCACGCCACGCCTACTATCCCTTTACATGCCACGCCTTCTTTGATGGGTGTCAACGAAACAGGAGAAGGTCCCAATCCTTATCTCCATTCCTCTCCTTTTTCCCCTCTACCCTCTGAGTATGATCAGGGAGGGACCATTTATCCTTCAACTGGCGGGCATGAATTCTTGACCACACCCACAAACTTCTTTAGCATGAACAGCCAGAGTCAGGAGAACCTTCTTGATTCGCCTAACCTGGTGGAGCCTTCAAGGACTTCAAACGATTTCATGAATCAGGAGGAAGTAGGGGGGACTGTGACCGGAGATGAAACCTCTGACTTGTCCCAGGTTCTCATGGGAACGGGGACAGAGTTCCCAGAGGAGGCTATATCCCATAATGAGTCTCAGGTTGGTATGAATTCTCAGGTGAGCGTCACTTCGTACTCGACCACGCCTCCTAATTATGACATGGATCTCAGCGAATCAGGATACTCAAGTCGGCACAAAGGCTCGTCTAACTCTCGCTCTTCCTCTCAAATGGATCCCAAATCCTCCACTCATCCTTTCCACCTCTCCTTACAACAACAACAACAACAACAACAACAACAACAATACCAACAACAACAACAACAACAACAACAACAACAACAACAACAACAAAGGTTGTATAATAATTCCTTCAGCACGTCTCAAAGCATGGAGAGGTTGAACATGCTCCACAGGGGCAGTGGCATGTATGACCATGCCCCCTCGCAGGAGCCCTATTATTTTGAGCCCCCCGGGGGAGCTAATTACATGAACATGATGGCATCACAACCGGAAATTGGTGCCGGCTGGCCGGGCCACAGAATGTATGGTCCACCCCCTCACATGAGGTTTATGGGTGGAGTCAACAGACCAGGCGGACCCTATTACATGCACCCGGCCCACCACCGGGGACAATACATGGGAGGTAGGGGGACTGATCCTTATGACCGATACTCAGAAACAGAGTTTCCCCAGGGAGGGTACCCTATGCATCCCGGGGCTGGGTATGATATGATGGATAGAAGGAACAAGAGATCAAGTATTGGGGGCATGCCAATGGAATATGATGAGACGATTGGTGGGCGGGGCCGCTTTCAGCACCCTCCGAGGTGGAGCATGGGTAAAGACGAGGATTATTTAATGGGTAGAGAGGAACCGTTTTTGATGGACAATTTGTCTCAGCCTGCGTCTTATTCCGCCGGTCGTTACCCTCACCACTTGGCTCCACCCAACGTACAGTCTTATCACATGAACAGGCCCATCAGTGGGCCCAGTGGTATGTCTCTATCTCAACCAGGAACCGTCGGAGTTTATAGGAAGAAAAGTGCATTGAAGAACAGGAATGAGCAGTCACCGAGAGCTGATAATAAGTAAGTGAATGTACGCATGTGCATGCAGTTCAAAAATTTTCAAGGATAAAAATTTATACTAACTGATAAAAAATAAGGCTTAAACTATTTTAAACACGGAATTACATGTAAGTGTAAATTTTTGCTACACACAGCATATCATGTGCATGTACATGTACAGTGTAGTGTACATGGTATTAGAACATGGTCAATGACTCAGTTGTGTAGTCCATGGTTTCTTGGGATGCATTCTATTGATGTCACTGGGTATGTTCATACCTTGTCCGACCCATTGTTCATTCCAAATCTGGGGACTATAGAGCCTTGTTCAGCTATACAACTGCATGTGTATATGTGTATTTATGTGTGTAGAGCGACTTTATGTGTTGCTCCAAAATCGGGCGAAAGTCCCTGTACTAGAGTGCATGGTCTTTGGCCAAAATTGAAAAGGAGAGAATTCTCCATTTTGATTTCTGATACATATACATGTACATGTACATTTGTACTTATGTTGTTAAAACTGATTCCAGTCAAAACTGGATTTTATAATAGCATTTTTTTCATAACTCTGTTGTAACAAAAGAACGCATAATTGTAATTGAGGTTTTGTAATTGACCCACGACAATTATTATTATTATTATTATTTTAGAATGAAGATGGATGATGGGTCCAATTTCTCAATACTAGACGAGGAACTTTATGAAGGAGATGAAGAAGAACCCTCTCCATTTCAACGATCGACGAGCAAGTCCATGATACTAGATGACCGCTGGGGAGAATGGGAAGAAAAAATGAAGAATATTGTAAGAGAGAGAGAGGGAGGGAAGAGATATGGTAGAGAGAGAGGGGAGAGATATGGTAGAGAGAGAGAGAGAGATAAAAGGGAAAGGACTAAGAGAAGGGTTTCATTATTTGTGTTCTTTAGGAGACGAAAGGTAGCGATGTTCCTCAATATGATGACGATGAACAAGAACCAATTCAAAACGAGGATGAAAGAGGTATGAGTCTAATATGGTGGTGGCGTTGGTTATTAGCTCTTTCCTTCAGGTGTTTGGTCGCACCCAACTGACCAGACAGACAAAGATGATGGAGAAAATGAGTAAGAAAAGAGAGAGAGAGAAAGAGGAAAGAAGAAGAGAGGAATGTTTAATTTACAATGTGGCCTCTATATGATAAGGACACCTCAGATTTTATAATGTCCCAATTGGTTAGAAGCCTATGCAGAAGTATTTCTGTATTGAGGGCAGGTACATGTAGTATGGGCCCAATGGTGTCCTTAATAAAGAGGTTACACTGTACTAAATTATGTTTGTTATTTATTCATGATAGTATTGATGATCATGTCCATGTTGTTGAATTGTTACGTGGAGAGGAGCCATTGGGTATCCAGTTAGTGAGCTATAACTCGGAAGGAAGGTAATGATAATAAATGTACATATTTATAATAACTATTATATTATTATTATTATTATTATTA